CCTGCCTCTGCCTCCCAAGTGCTGGGACTAAAGGCGTGCGCCACCACAGCCCGGCAGGATCACGGCAACTCTTATAAAGAGAAACATTTAATTGGGTGGCTTACAGTTCAGAGGTTCAGTTCATTATCATCATGGTGGAAGATGGCAGCCTGCAGGCAGACATGGTGCAGGAGGGGGAGCTGAGAGTTCTACATCTTGCACAGGCAACAGGAAGTGAACTGTATCACTGGGGGTGGCTTGAGCATGTATGCGACCTTAAAGCCCGCCTCCACAGCAACACACTTCCTCCAACAAGAGCACACATACTCCAACAAGGCCACACCTCCTAATAGTGCCATTCTAATTGGGAGCCATTTTCCTTCAAACCACTGCATGCTAGAAAAGGAGTTTGGGGACTGATGTCCCCTGAACTGTGTCCCTGAAATGGGAGGGCTCTTGGTGGAGACCAGGCTATCAGAGTGGAGTCTGTTTGCCTTTGGTGCCACTGCCAAGCCTGGGCCTGAGAGCAGCATGGCAAGTTTATCCTAGGGAAAGTACAGCATTGGCTTCACCTAGGCCTTCTCACCACTCATCTCCTAGCATCCCTGGGAAGCAGCAGGACAGGAGATCTCCAGGGACACATACATAAGAAGACATGACAGAGAGCCCCCCTCAACTCCAGGCTCTGTGGGTTCCAGAGGCTCCTGCCACTTAAAGGCTGCCTGCTCACCTTGCCTGGTGGTTTGACACTGGATTGTCCCTGTAGGTACCTGGCTCCTCCTGAGGGGGGAACCCTGATACTAGGCAGAAGCAGCTCTGGCCTGGTTACATCTACAGCCAGGGGCCTTGTCTCTCAGCTGTGACCTCAATTAGGGGCCAGCCTTCAAGATCCTTGTCAGCTTGTGGGACCAGGAACCTGGCTTGGTGGCCCCAGTCCTGGGAGCTCTGGCCTTTGGGGTCATCTAAGATAGGTCTTAGTGTTGAGTCTGTCTCTAGGACCCAGATCTTGGCCCTTTGTGGAGGTGGCAGTTAGAAGAGGCTCTTTGGGGAGGGCTAAGCATCTCAAAAGGGGGCAGCCCTTCCTGTGTTAGGAGCCTTGATGCTCTGCAGGTACCAGTGACCAGGAGCCACACCTAGTGACTTGGAGTGGCTGTGCAATCCCACAGTGATGAGTGGATCTGGGCCACATATCCTCAGGGGAGGAGAGAACTGGACAGTACCTGGAATGGAACCTTCTAGGCAGGCTCCTGTGGCCTGGTAGGTTGGATGTTGCCTCCCCTAGTGGTCTCCAAGGAGAATACACCTCACTTTGGAGAGTACCTCATGGAAGCCATGGGTGTCGCCTGCCTAGTGGACAGTATAGGCCATCAGAGGGTGCTAGCAGACACTGCTGTCCCAGGATTCCATTTCTGACACTGGAATTTCTGCTTTGAGCTGTGATGGAAAGCAGAGGTGTGGCTGTCTTCCTCCTTCCCACCTATCCTCCTATGCATCTATTTCTTCTGAGTCATGTTCTCTGAGTTCCCATTGTGTGCTGCAAAATACATCCTGGGATAGTCAGACCCTAGAATGAAGCCCCTGCATGTACAAAGAGGGCCCTGGCCAGGAGGCAGCCCTGCTGTGCGCCCAAGGCACTGTCTCTGGGCTTCAGCCTCCAGTCAGAATGGGGAGGTTTGGACTGGAGGATTGCCATCCAGTATTTCATTGTCAATGGTATGAGTACCACTGGGTAGAAACACTGACTAGAGGAGGAAGGGCATTCATGACACAGTGTACTGTGGAAGGTTCCGTTGAAAACGCACATGCAAAGCATTAATCCATCAAAACTGCGAGGAGAGCAGTGCAGAGGGACTGTCACCCGCCAACTGTCACCCCCACTCGACAAAGGGACTCTCACCTGGTCCTCTCCTGTGTCGTCTGAGTGTCTAGAACTGGAGGTCAGTTCTGAAGGCAGGTTAAGTGGTGGTCAGTAACCACCTCTGTGTCTCCCACCACCCCAGGAGTATGAAGAGCGCCTGGCCCGCCTGAAGGCCGACTATGAGGCAGAGCAAGAGTCTCGGGTCAGGCTGCAGGAGGACATCACTGCCATGCGTAACTCATATGACGTGAAGCTGTCCACGCTGGAGGAGAACCTACGCAAGGAGAAAGAAACAGGTGTGTGTTGTCCTGGGGCAGCGGGAGCACACCTGCTGTCTTCCCTCTTGGTGACATGCGTGAAGGCTCATCTGCAGGGTAGGCTCGGACTCTCTACCCCTTACAATCCAGCCAGGCTGGTACCGCATTACCATCTGCCTGGAGGTGAGGAAGCAGGCCCAGAGCGGGGAGGTGACTTGCCTTTGGCCACACAGTGGGAGTAGCAGAGTCAGGATTGGAATCCAGGCACTCTGGGCCCAAAGCTGATATTGTCACGCAACACTATCTTGGGGTGGTGTGTCTACAAGCTGGGCCACCTCTGGCTTGTCAGTGCTGCTCAGCGATGGCTTCCTGGAGGAGGGGGTGAAGGCAGGGTTAGGCTCTGGAGAGAAGGCTGTGGAGCAGGGACAGATGACATGGAGCTGGGCTCTTGGGATCTTCAAGGTTCCGACTCAAGCTGGTCTTTGAGATACAGTGGGTACAGGCCACCTTCCCCTTGGGAGACTGTGAGACACTCTTGTTTGCTGCAGAGGCAATTCTCAAGGCAGAAGTCCTCTATAAGACAGAGGTCATGTCCAGGGCCGAGTTAGCCAACGGGTCTGAGTACTTACCAGCTTTGCAGTATGAGACGGCGGTGAAGCCCACCATCCTCTCCATGCCCGACACCCTGCCTGGTGATGTGGTCACCAAGAGCCAAGCTCCGCTCACATTTGAGGAACTGTCCAATGTGGAGCCGTCCAGGTCAGAGATTTCTTTTGGGTCTAATGAGTCATCTACCCTCGAAGACTCCTCCATGTCAGAGGCCTTCCCTGGACCTGAGGAGCTTTCCAACGTGGAGTTCTCCATGCCTGGGGTGCTGGCGGAGAGCAGGTACTTCTCTGATGAATATCTTGGTCCAGAGGCTGCTGCGTCTTCACTGGAGGCAGAGAACTACGTCCCAGAGGACGAGCCCCCACTGGAGCCCATGCACGTGTTAGCAGACCTGCAAGAACCCTTTGCTGAAGTGGAAGCCAAACTATCCACACTGTCCTGTACTGTGGCCATGACGGACCTGTCCCAGAAGGATGTCCCCCAGACTCCTGAGCAGGTAGTGAAAGTCCTATGGAGTGGGCAGGGTGGGCTGGGAGCACAGGGCTTATCGTCTACACGGGGCTGCTGATCTCTGCTGCTCACCAGTGACCACATGTGTCCTCCATGACTGGGTGGCCTCTCGGGGAGACTGCTGTCCTATGGTCTGGAAAGGACACATACTGTCAGACACACACTAGGAAAGCTGGGATGGAGCCCCCAAGTCATGTTAGGCAGACACCTGTTCCTTTGACGGGACATGGTGTGTGTGTGTGGGAAGTAGGGTGGGTTGCTCAGTTGCCGTAGTGATCCTGAGCTCCCAGCCTAAGAGAGACACAAGAGGTACCCACAGGACTTGGGGGTACCCCTCCTGTCCCTTCCTGCCTAATCTCTGGTGCCTTTCCTGTTTTAAGAAAATAATACTCTTTTCTCCCCATTTTCTGTTTTCTTCATGTAAGCACATGTGTGCACATATGCACATACATGTAACCAGGCCTTTGAAATCCCAGCTGCCACTTCGTGGTGCAGCATTGGCCAGTTGCCTCTCTAGGCCACAGGTCCCCTCTGAATAGTAGAAATGCTAGTTTGTGCCTTGCATGCACTGACACAGAGCGTACCCTGGGACACTGTAGGCACTCACCCACGTCCCGTCTCTCCTCTCATCTCTTCACCCCTACAGCAACATCAGGCAGGCAGAGGAGGTCTTGGGTGGGTCTGCAGCCCCCAAGAAGGCAAGATGAAGTGTCAGGGCAGTGAGGAAGTAGAGGGGATTTCTGGCCCAGATCATTTCTCCTCTCCCTCACCTATCCCCCCACCCCACCGTCAGCCATCCTCGACGGACCTGCTGGAGCCCAGTGACAGGAAGTCAGAAGCTGAGGTGGTTGACAGCCTCCTCCTTGACACTGTGAGTACCTGCCTAGCCCTCCAACTGCCTGGCCCAGTCTGTCTGACTTGCGCCTTCTCTTCCTGGGACTAGGATTCCTTGTCTCCACCATCCCATGGCTGAGCAATGTTTAAACAGAGGACTGCCACTCTGTGCAGTAAATTGGAGGCCTTCTGGAGACAGTGGCATTGGAGGCCCTTGTCTTACAGGAGCACCGAGGACTAGGGCTGCAGGCAGGCCTGGTGGTCCTAGGGCACTATCCAGGACCTCCTGTAGGCCTGTGGCACCCAATTTGAACACCCTTTGTCTAGTGCAACAGACAGGGGCGGGGGGGGTCTTCTAAAGCTCTTCACACTCAGGGAGAGCAACAATAAGTGTGCAAGTCTCTAGGCAGGGGCGGGGGGTGGGGGGTGACAGTAGGCAGTAGACAAAATGTTGGGAGGTCCCAGCTAGGAGGTGAGACAGAGGTAAGGAGGGGAAGCCAGGAAGAGCATTTCATGCCAGACTTCCTGAACGAGACACCAGTGTCCTCAGGGGCACCAAGGAGGACAGGTGGGGTGCAGAGGGTGCTTGGAAGAGACATGGGGGAGGGGCGGCAGCCAGGGAGAAGACCAGAGTGTCGGGTGAGTAAATCCCATGGGCAGCAGTGGAAGGTTCTAGTAGGAAAGGGGACATTATGATCAGTTCATATTTTTGAGAAAATTATCCTGCCTGCCTTGGTGACTGGATTAGAGAGCTCAAGAGAAGAGACGGGGAGCCCATTTGGGATGCTGGTGAAGATAATTGTACAAAGAATTTGTTTGAGTGCAAAACGTCTTATAGCTTGCTACAGGTTGTGTTCCTATTATCTTAAATCCATAATGTTCTGACATCTGAAGGTTTTTTTCCCTTTTTCCATTTTCATGGACACGTGTCCATGTTTTACATGTGTATGGGCCCAGGTCTGTGGGTGCACATGTGTGTACACGCACGTGGAGCCTCAGAGTTGATGCTGGAGATCATCTTTGACTGCTCTGACACTTTGTGCACTGAGACGGGGTCTTCCATCCGGCTGCTCTCAGTAGCCGGTTTGCTCTGGGGCCCCCTGACTCTCACCTCCTGAGACTGCAGTTACGAGGAACTGACATGGGTTCTGGGGATCTGAACTAAAGTTCCCATGCTTGCAAGTCCTCTAACCACTGAGCAGTCTCCCCAGCCTCTCACACATGAGACCACATGAGCGGCATCCTGGAGCTCAAAGTCTTTTAGATTTCCATGCATGCTGGGTTTTAGACTTTGGAATGCTCAGAGATGCTCAGCCTGTGTGTCTGAGGCAGGGGGTGAACCATGAAGGGCCATTCACGTCTCCTCCCATCTTTAACTCTGTGTCCAGGAGTCTGATCTAGGCCTGAAGGTGGCTGAGGAGGTGATGGCTGAGGCAGAGACTGGCATGTGGATGGAATCGGAAGCCCACATGGCCCAGGAGGCCGAGACGGCCCAGCCTCAGCCCTTGCTGGGCATGCCGAGCGTGAGAAGGGAGAGTGTAGGCGTGGAAGTGGCTGTGCTGACCGAGGAGCTGCAGCCTGTGGATCAACAGAGGGTGCTGGCCCGGTGAGCAGCAGGTTCAGGAGCCTGGGGTATGACTGGGAGAACCCTGGCCAAAGTTAGAGGTTGAGGGATTGTGGCCCAGGCTGGGGTGAGGTACGATCTGCTTCTCAACCCCTACTGAGCCCACACCAGGCTCCTCCTCTACCCTAAGAGGGGCAATCGGGTAGGGGAGGTGCCACAGCAGGCCAGGCAGGCAGAGCTCTGACCCAGAGCCACCCGGGCACCAGTTTCCACTCAGTCACCTGCTGGGATGTGTTTGTTCCATAATAGATAAAAACTGTGGAGCACCACCCCTATGCTGTGGGAGCACGGCTATGAGCCTGCTCTACTTCGGGCAGCATCAGTATTGGGGGTGGCTCAGCTCTGAGCCCTCAGGACACTGTTTGGAGGAACCCAGTTCTGAGCAGGCAGCTTCAGGTGTTTGCAGCTCAGTTTACCACTCTGGGAAGTGGGTTGTCGGGGAGCAGGTGGCAGACGGTGGCAGGCCAGCAGGATGTGTCACATTTGCTTTCTCCTCTGGGCTACAGCTTGCAGTTGCTGGAGCAGCAGGTAGTGGGGGGCGAGCAGGCTAAGAACAAGGACCTGAAGGAGAAGCACAAGCGGCGCAAGCGGTACGCAGACGAGCGCAAAAAACAGCTGGTGGCCGCGCTGCAGAATTCGGATGAGGACAGTGGGGACTGGGTGCTGCTCAATGTCTATGACTCCATCCAAGAGGAAGTGAGGGCCAAGAGCAAGCTGCTGGAGAAGATGCAGAGGAAGGTGAGGCCCTGGCTCAGGTCCCTGGCCCCATGCTCCACCTGGGCAACAACACTTCTTACAAACAGTGGCAGCCTTCTGTTCTCCACACAAGCATGTATTAAGTGCCTGCTGGATGCCTCTTCTAATGCTCCAGAAAAAAATGTCTGAATAGGGCCTGGTGGCTGAGGCTGGGGCCACGGGTGTGGTTAAAGACCAATGTTTTGTGGAACTGTGGATACAGGAGACACTGGTTACATGCTGAAAGGGAGGGTGGTGAATGGTGGTGGCTCAAGGCTCAGGGGGCTGGACACAGTGTCCATGGGGCACATGGAAAGGAGAATCAGTGAGCAGTTGGTGAATGGCTGGCGGGGGCGGGGGGTGGCAGTTTAGGGACTGAGCGGGCAGACAGGTGCTAAGCTGCCTTTTTCTGCTCATCACTTGTCACTTATCCTTGGTCAGCTCCGGGCAGCAGAGGTAGAAATCAAGGATCTGCAGTCAGAGTTCCAGCTGGAGAAGATCGATTACCTGGCAACCATCCGCAGGCAGGAGCGGGACTCGATGCTCTTCCAGCAACTCCTGGAGCAGGTGCAGCCGCTGATTCGAAGGGACTGTAACTATAGCAACCTGGAGAAGATACGGCGAGAGTCGAGCTGGGATGAGGAAAACGGCTTCTGGAAGATCCCGGATCCCATCATCATAAAAACCAGCCTCCCAGTAGGTCAGGTGCTCGGCTGTCCCCAACCTTCCCTGTCTCTTTGACAGCTGGCCATATTGCAGAGGGACAAAGCCTGGCCTCTTTCTGCAAGCTGTGGGTGCAACAGACATAGTATTCCTGAGGATCCAATCATTAGGGACCTGAGAAAGTGTGCTCTGGAGGCAACAGGTAGGGCTTGTGTGACCTCTGAGGGACTGTCATCTGTGACATGGGAATAAATGACAGCACCTTCCTTAAAGGTGCTGTGAGGTCTGTGTTATGCTCAGACATGCAAATGCCTTAGAGTGCTGCTTGGCACAGCACGGGAGCTTGGTTCTGTCACTATTGTCATTCCGTCTGTTGACAGTCCCACAAAGGAGCATGATTAAAACTGGATCTCAAAACAAGGCATAGTCGTGCATGCCTGGCGCCCCAGCATTTGGGAGGTGAAGGCAGGAGGATCAGTTTGAGGTTATCCTGGGCCACACAGCCAGGTCAAGGCTTGCTTGTGATACATGAGACTCAGCCTCAAGAACGAAGCAAAACAGGGGCTGGAGGGAAGGCTCAGCAGTCAGGAGTACATGCGGCTCTCGCAGAGGACCAGACTTTGGTTCCCAGCACATATCTGGCAGTAACTGATACTCAAATGAGTAACCTCTTCTGGCCTTTGTGGCCACTGGGCATGCATATACTGCATACACACTCACACACACGAAATAAAAATAAACTAATAAACAAAGCCCACAAAACCAAAGTAAAGAAAAATTTAAACCGACTCTTTAGAGGATCAAGTTCACAGCCAGAGCAGCAAGTTATACTAGGACCATGGATAGATACCAGCTGTTCAAGGTTCAATATGTGCTTTAGCCCTTGACTTCCTGTGTGATTTTATGAAGATCACTATACCTCTCTGAGCTTAACAAAGGAGGGATTGGAAAAAATGACCCTAAGGACTCATCCAGCTCAGATGACCTCAGAGTAAAGTCAGATTTTTTCTGTGGATCTTTCTCCACCATCTGTATGTGCATGCGTGTGCATGCATCTCTCTAGTTTCCTATGTGACACCCTGCAGTCCTTTTCCTGGTCACTGTTCATTGATATCTCCATTCCTGAAGTGATGGGTAGCCACAGATGCCACTCACCCAATTAAAACTCCAGCAAGCTCATTTCCTATGAGCCTCTCTCCTAGTCCTACTCACCTGATATCCTCCAGTTTGGAGCAGCGGTGTGGGCATCCTGTATCTGAGTCCTCTTATCATCTGTTTCCTCATCATCCCTTGACTGGGCTGGGAAATGCCCCCTGTTTCCAGCCTCCAGCCAGCCTGACCCCCACCCCAGGTAGAGTTGCTCCTACTACACCCTGTGCCCAGCTCCTCAATTTCTGTTTTCTCATAGCAGTTTCAACTGGGCCACAGAACAAGCCAGTCCGCAAAACCTCTGCAGTGGACAACGGCGAGCCGTTCATGGTAAAGACCAAGGTGGAAGGGAGGGATAGAGTTCTGGGGTGGAGGCAGGTAGATGGACGGGTTGCCTACTAAGTGCTGGGGGTCAGTGAAGCTGCTTCTGTCTTGCCTGGGGACTACAGCCAGATGCTGAGCCTGGACCTTTTCCCACCACTATGTTAGGAACCTGGATTCTCAGGTAGCCTCTCATTCAAAAGTACTGAACAAAGGGATAGTCTGTGGTAACTGTGGTGTCTCCTGCTAGCCTAAGGCTGGATTTACCTCAGTGACTTGACTTCTTAAGAAAGAAAAGGCTTTAAAACACTTTTAGCGTAGGACTACAGAGAGGCTATGTCAGAACACTTTTAGTTCCAAGTGACAGGTGTCAAACAGTCAACACAAAACAGACACCTCACTGATCCATGTAGGTGGATCAGTTTCAAGCATGGCTGAATCTTGGGACTCAGTCAGGGTTCTGTGTCTGACTTTGCCCTGTATCCCTGCCTCCGAGCTAGCTAGCTTCAGGCTTTCTCCCCAAGGAAGGGCGGTTGCTGCTGGCTGCTGGCAGTTAAGATCTAAAAGGAAGAAAGATATCATCCCTTCAGCCAGTTGTTCTCAACCAAATGGGTCATGACCCATTTGGAGGCCACCTATCAGATGCCCTGCACAGCAGATATCTGCATTACCATTCATAACGGCAGCAAAACTATAGTATGAAGTAGCAACGAAAATAATCTTATGGTTGGGGGTCACCACAGCATGAACGGTATGAAGGGGTCCCAGGGTTAGGAAGGTTGAGAGCCGCTGCCTGAAGCCATCATTACACCCGAGCTTGTGGAGAGACTGAGGCTGGCTCTGCCTGTCACAGGCCTACTCTATGTTCAGAAAGATGTAACTCTGTGATTGGTGCAAGTCTGGGTCCTACATCTGGCATTGTGAATTCTCTCCCCACCGGGATGGGAGGAAATAGTTAGTTACCCAGTGCAAAAGATTCAGACTGAGAAAAACAAGCCCATCCCAGCAGTTGTGAAAAAGAGCCTTCCCAGGAGTTGGTCGGTGAGGATGTGTTGGCCACAAAGGTAGCTGACGGCTGAGGCTTTTTGCATTGTGTATACACTGAGGAATTTGGGCCATGTAGTATCTATCACCCTTGGCCCTGTTGACGATGGAAGAAGAAACATGGACCCACCCACATCAAGGAAAGTGAGAGGAGGCTGTGACTTCCCTGGTCGATGCTGCCAGGACCCCTGACCTAGGAGTCCTCAGAGTGATGCAGCCCAGCAGATGCCCAGCATGGCATAGCTCCACACATCCCCAGAAACTCCTAAGCCCAGGGTAGGGTGCTCAGTGGATGCATAGATGAGGGGTCTGTCACTCATGAGGTTTTGAAATCCCAGCAGGAGGAAGACCGGTATAAGCTGATGCTTAGTCGAAGCGACAGTGAAAATATTGCGAGTAACTACTTCCGGTCTAAGCGGGCCAGCCAGATCCTCAGCACGGATCCCATGAAGAGCCTCAGTGAGTGTCCTGCCCACTGGGGCTTCCTCTCCCCCACACCTACTGGGAAATATGCCATGGGGATGATTTTGGAGTCAGGGACAAAAACCCTTTCCCTGTGTAGGCAAGGGGCATGGTGTCCACATCTCAGGAAGAGATGAACTGGGGAAACAGGGCCACATAGGAGGTAATTAAGCTAGTCAGGGTTTGCTGCTCCAGGAATACCTGAGAGGAACAACTTAAAGGAGCTCTGGGAGCGAGGCTCAGCTGGTAGACCCACAAAGTCCTGGGTTCAGTCCCCAGCACGGCATAAACTAGGTTTGTGATGCTTGCCTGTCATCCCAGCACTTGGGAAGTGGAATCAAGGGGTGGGCAGTTCAAGGTCACCTTTGGATACAAAGAGAGTTTGAAGCCAGCTATGTGAGACCCTGTCTCGAAGGAGGAGGAGGAGAAGAAAGATTGAAAGATTTGGCTTCAGCTTCGGAGGGTTTACTCCTTTGGGCTGGAGACTGAGTAGGACACCATGGTGGTGGAGACCTGTTTACATGCTCACACCATGATGGCTGGGAACCAGAGCCAGCAAGCTTTTGACAGGGGTTTGATCCCTCTAGACCTCCAGCCTACTAGGTGGTTCTACTCCCTTCAAGCCATGTTTTCCTTCTTCATTTGCTATCCCGTAGACCACTCTGCTCTGGAACCAACCCCCCCCCCGCCCCCCGAAAACACACACACACACACAAACATATGGAGTGTGTGCTACTTGTCTCTCAATACAATCGAGTTGATAAGATTAACCTTCAAGGGGCCGGAGAATTGGCTCAGTGGTTAAGGCAGTTAAGTGGACTGGGGTTCAGTTCCCAGCTCCTACATGGTGGCTCACCACCATCTATATCTGTGTTCCAGAGGATCCAGTGCCTTCTTCTGACCTCCTCAGGCGCTGCACACATGTGGTGCACACACTACATGTCAACAAACCACTCATACACACATAATAAATAATAGATCTAAAATAAGTTTTTAAAGATTAACCCTCAGACCGGGCGTTGGTGGCGCACGCCTTTAATCCCAGCACTTTAATCTCTGTGAGTTCGAGACCAGCCTAGTCTACAGAGTGAGTTCCAGGACAGGCTCCAAAACAATACAGAGAAACCCTGTCTTGAAAAACAAACAAACAAACAAAAAAGATTAACCCTCACATTACTCAGTACATAGTCTCCTGTCTGCTTGAAGAGAGGGTCTGTTTTTGACACACAAATGGGCCCTCACATGGGGGGGGCACAGGTCAGGCCTACTTTGACTTCCTCAGAATCCATTATGGTAACTTTCCTTAAAGGATGTTATGCCAACGGAGCAGAAAGGTCCCCAGCGCAAAAGAGTTCCAAGAATTGAAAAGTCACTTCATTCTTTTAAAACTAAATCATGCCCAGCAGTGATGGCACACACCTTTAATTCCAGCATTTGGAGGCAGAGGCAGGTGGATCTCTGGGAGTTCAAGGCCAGCTTAGTCTACAGAGTGAGTCCCAGGACAAGCTCCAAATTTATACAGACCCCCCCCCCAAAAAAAAACCCAAAACTGAAATTGGGCTGGTGAGGTGGTTCCTAGGATAAAGATGCTTGCCACCAAGTCTGAGAGCCCAAGTTCGATCCCCAGGCCCACGTGGCAGGTTGTCCTCCAACCTCCACACAGGCACTGTGGAAGGAATGACTCAATCAACCCATTGATAAATGCAATAGAATTTTAGAAAAAACCAGAACCCACAGGGCTTCCATCAGAAACAACACTTAGGGCTGGAGAGATGGCTCAGTGGAAAGAGCGCTGGCTGCTTTTGCAGAGAACCGGGTTTTTAGTTCCCAGCACTGTAGCCACTCACAAGCTTCCCGTAACTCCGGTTCTAGGGGATCCTATGCCCTCGGCTGTGGGCACTGCGCACACAGTGTGCTTTCACACAGGCAAAATACCCATACACATTAAATACTTTTTAAAACTGACTTTACATTTTTTAATTTCTAAACTGAAAGCAGAGACACAGTGGGGTGGGGTGGGGAGGGGAAGAAATGAGAATTTATGGGGTGCCTGACGTTGTCCAAGTGATAGCTAAGGAAACGGAGACCTAAGAGCTGACAACACTGGTAGGGCATGCTGGGCTGGGCTTTGTGCCCAGGCTTATCTGCCTTAGGTACCAGGCTGGAGCCTCACTTAGAGGCTTTTAAACGCCAATCCCCTACCCTAGACCCTTTAGACGCACAAGTGATTTAGGTCTGAGACCCCAGCAGAGCGCTTCAGAGGGGTCCCAGCTGCGGAGTCGGACCCTCTGCCTTATGCGAGATTGCTGTCCTGGCTCACTGGTGACCCCTGCCTTTTCTCCACAGCACATCACAACTCACCACCAGGGCTCAACTGCCCCCTCAGCAACAACTCTGCCATGCCACCGGCCCAGACCCCTGAAATGCCCCAGCCCCGCCCCTTCCGCCTGGAGTCCCTTGACATCCCCTTCTCCAAAGCCAAGCGTAAGAAAAGCAAAAGCAGATTCGGCGGGGAGCCTCTGTGACCCAGCTGCCTGCTGCCACCTGTCCTTAGGCTTCTAGAAACTTCCAAGTCCTCCCCATGAAGCCCCAACCAGGCCTCCTCTCCCCTGCTCCACAGTGACCCCAAACCCGAGAGGATCTTAGCCCTGGGAAGGCACACCCCCTTCCCTGTTCCCTAGAAAACTCTATTTGGCTCAGGGCCTGAGCTCTGTGGAAGTTGGACTGCCCTTCTCAGAAAGAGGCCTGCCCCAGCTGTTCACAGCAGCCAGTGTCCCCACTGACTTTCCTAGAGCCTACACTAGCCAGTGTGGGTCTACCTCCACGGGCTCAGGTGACCCTGGACCCTCACAAGCATCCTCAGCACTGAGCACAGAGGCTGCCACGTGGACAAGGATGAAGCTCAACATCTTGACTAAGCTTAGGACCGCTCTCTTATGGGCCCCTTCTGAGGGAGCCTGTGCCACGCAGTGGACACAGATGGAGACCTGGAGCCAACTACTCTGCCTGGCCTACTTACTATTGGTTGGACCACAGCCCAAAGAAGGTGCTTTATTTAAGCTGCCCAATAAACTGCCTTTTAGAATAAGCTCCCCTACCCCAACCCTCTGGTGCTTCCTGCCCCACCCGCAGACAGTTTACTGCCTCTGGCTGCAAGCCAGCAGCTCCAGGGTTTCTGTCGCCAGCAACACAAGTGACTATAGAAACAGAACCATGTCTTGCTGAGGCAGAAATGGCCTGGGTTGTAGTGTGTGTGTGTGTGTGTGTGTGTATGTGCGCGCGTGCGCACACCCACACACACACACACACACACACACACACACACACACACACAACACACAGACGTCCTCACTTGTGCCTGTGGAGATCAGAGAGCAACCTCGGGTATCGTTCCTCAAGCACTTTACCAGCTGAGTTACCTCCCCAGCCTGGGCCCTCTCCTCCTCCTCCTCCTTTTAAATATTTATTTGTCTATTTACTTATTTATTTAGTAGGGGTGCACATGGTGCACATTGGAGGTCAGAAGACAACGTGTGGAAGTCACTTACTTCCTTCCTTCCTTCCTTCCTTCCTTCCTTCCTTCCTTCCTTCCTTCTTTCCTTCCTTCCTTCTACCATGTGGGTCCCAGGAACTGGATCTAGGTCATCGGGCTTGGCAGGAAGTGTCAGTACCCACTGAGCAGCCCCCTGAGCAGCCACTGAGCAGCGTGTGCCAGGTTGAGGGAGCTTATGTTCTGATGCTTGCATGTGGAGGTGAGGGACGGCTTCCAGGAACGGCTGCCCTCCTTCCACTGTGGGTTCTAGGACTCGAACCCAAGTTTGTTCAGCAAGTGCTATTACCTGCTCTCCCACCCAGGCTTGGGTTTTGAGTCTTCAGGGGTCTGTACTAGAACTCGGTGTCCTGTCTTAGCCAGAGATGAATCCAGTTGTCATTTGTTCCCACCCAAGGGCTATGAACAGCCCTTCCCTTTGGGGGTGGGGGGGCACAATCAAGGAGAATATGGGTCCTGAGCCATCTCTGTCCACTGGAGAAGTACCCACTTCATGGTATTCTGTGAAGGTTAGAGAGTATAGTAACGCTGTGCTGAGGTATTCCCCCCTCCAACGCTGCTGTCCTCCTATTTTATATCAGTTACTGTGGTAGGCCTTACCCGTGGGCCAAGGAGTTCACTGAAGAAGCCGGGGCAGGTGAGGCAACCAGAGAACAGTGTGGCAGAACCAGTCAGGGGAAGCCAGCTCAGGTGTCTATGGGAGCGAAGCTCCACCCCAACCTCACCCCACCTCAACACCACCCCGCCCTAAGGATGAAGATGCTACATCCCTGATGGGATCCTGAGAAGAGTGGGCACCTCTGGTGGGGGGGGGGTGAAATTGCAGGCAGGGGATGGGCAGCTCAGGGTGTGTGTGCTAAAGGCCAGCAATGTAGTGAGAGAATCCACCCAGCAGCAGGTGCGTACCTGAGCCTGTGGTATTTGGTCTGGGGTCCTGGACAGGCTTGCGCTCTCTTGGGTCACAGAGAGCAGCCTGGGTGTGAATCCTCGGAGCAGGAACTTGTGGCTCATCAGTTTCTTACGTAAGTGACTTCTCCCCGAATAAAATTAACCTATATTTAACCAAGTCCGGTGTATCTTAATCTGTGCATCAGTATCTAGTGTCAGAAGTGGGATCTTCACCGGACCTGGGAAACTAGGTTTCACCCAGTGGTGGGAAGTCTGCACTGCAGCCTCAGCCACCGCCACACATGTATGCTTCCCAGGGCTGCCCTTTTTTTCAGCTCCTGGGAGCCAGTTGTCATTGGTAGCTGCTCAGCTCCTGTGCAGTGGCGGGGCACCCCTCAGCTGGCTACATTCTCCTGCAGCATGCCAGAGTGCCTGCCTGCTACACTGCCGATTTGCAGACTCTGTGGGTCCCTGCAATTCATGAGAGCCTCGCCTTTCTCCTTTTCTGAACAATTTTACTTGATTTGAATTTGCAGAAAGTTTTGCTTAGAATTCACAGAATCTAACAAATTAGAAACAATCTAGGCAGAGGGCATCTTGCCGTGGGATGCTGTTTGGCGGTACACCTGCGCCACCTTATGGCCAAATATAGTTACTACAAGTTGAGACCTACAAGCGAAAAGAGCATCGAAATTAAAGAACAACAGGCTTCTACTGAAAGTAAGTACTGTATCCTTTGTATTTTAAGCTAATAACAATAAGATTAACCACTGTATACCAACGGTGGATAATCTTACAATTCAGGACGTTAGGAATATTTTTGTTTCTTGTATGGATGGGATTTTAGAAGAGGATTGTGACCTACCAGGAATATGCCTATTCTTAATAATGCCGATTAGATTCATAATCCAAATAATATCCTTAAAGAAAGGGCTTGAGAATAGAGTGAAGAATAAGGAATTTGTACAAACCATACAAATTTTACAAGCAAATAATGAGAACTTAGAAAAAATGATTCAGAATATTGAATATGGCCATGGAGATTTGACAAACAGAATGCAAAACATGGAACATAAAAATGACCAACTAGGGGCTGGAGAGATGGCTCAGAGGTTGAGAGCACCGACTGCTCTTCCAGAGGACCTGAGTTCAATTCCCAGCAACCACATGGCGGCTCACAACCATCCATTATGAAATCTGGTGCCCTTTTCTGGTGTGCAGTTATACATGGAAGCAGAATGTTTATACATAATAAATAAAATCTTTAAAAAAAGATGACCAACTAGAAGACAGAATTTGTTCCATGTCCAATGCTTCAGTGACCAAAATAGAAACAATGCAAGATGACATTAACAGACTCGCAGAAACAATTAATTCTGGCCTGATGACTTGACTAGTAAAATACAAAGCCTGGAACATCAGATTGGAAAACTAACAGAAAGAATTCGTTCCATGTCTGAGGATAATGACAAGCTAGCGGATAGAACATTGTTTCTGGAAGGCAGTTTACATGCCATTCAGATAATATCTAAGGATGAGAATATTAGATGCTTAAATTCATATATAAATCAAGAGAACAAGAAACTGGTCCCATGAAATCTTTAGAAACATATATGGTCCAGGAAGTCCAAACACTCAGAGAAACAATGGCGAGTAGATTACAGGCCATAGAACACCTTCAATCTGATACACCAGAAGCAGAGGCACAAGTAATAGGGCTTGAAGGAGATTTATATTACCTACACCTTTCAGACTCCGGGAAGACCTACTTAAGGTCATTATGCCATCTCCTATGGGCTTTCCCAGTGACTACTGCTGAAAAACCAGCAAATGAAAAACACCCGAAAGGCTTCGTTGCCTATCAGTGGGAACCAATACGGATGAAAGATTTTAAAAGCATAAAGGAAGCAGTAGTTTCTTATGGCATGCAATCTCCATATGTGAGGCAATTAGTAAAATTATGGGCAGAGCAATAGAGTGATCCCTAAGGACTAGGGCCAATTAATGTTAGCTGTCCTTGAAAATTCATCTCAAATAGAATGGAGGGCTTTACAGAGGGAAGGAGCAAAAGCCCTCGAACTTCAGGGCTTAAAGAAAGGTAAAATTCTTGGTGAGGGTCTTTATGATGATCCAGAGACTCAAGCTGCGTATGATGGCCACATCTTGTCTCTATGCTTTACAGCAGCTTTGAATGCTTGGGATAAGGTTTGTGAACCAGGGGAGAAAATAGAACCCTATACCAAGGTGAAGCAGGGACCGAGGGAGCAATATAGTGAGTTTTCACAAAGATTGTCCAGAGCAGTAGAATTACAGGTAGCAGATTCAGATTCTAGGCAAATGCTCATAGAATCTCTAGCTTATGAGAATGTAAATCCACAATAACATTCCTCCAGTATCAGATATGAATCATAAACAAGCTCATGGTTGTGGAAAAATCATTGTAAGGCACTATAGAAAGCCAAGACTGGAGAGATGTCTCAGAGGTTAATAGCACTGACTGCTCTTCCAGAGGTCCTGAGTTCCCAGCAACTACATGGTGGCTCACAACCATCTGTAATGAGATCTGGTGCCCTCTGCTGTCAGATAGAACAATGGGTACATATTAAATAAGTCTTTAAAAAAAAGAAAATTAATTTTAAAAAAAGAAAGAAAACCGATGATTCAGGCTGTACATAAACAGAATACAAGTGCCAGATTTACAAAGGAACCAAAAGCCCTACCCTTAAAATGGCTTACAGATGAGCCTGTCTGGGTAGGGCAATGGCCTATGGCCTCTGAGAAGCTAGAGGGTTTAGAAAAGCTGTTTTGGGAACAGCTAAATGCTGGATATATCGAAGAATCTACCAGCCCTTGGAATTCTCCTGTATTTGTTATTAAAAAGAAATCTGGAAAATGGAGAATTTTTACAGACCTGAGAGCCATCAAAAAAGTAATCCAGCCAATGGGCTCACTACAGCCAGGAATGCGCTTGCCTTCTCTGATACCTAAAGAATGGCCTATTATAGTTATTAATGTAAAAGATTGTTTCTTCACTATACCTTCACAAGAAAAAGATAGGGAAAAATTTGCCTCCAGGGTGCCTACTTGCAATTCTGAACCAGTCAAGAGATATCAACAGAAGGTCTTGCCACAGGGAATGTTAAATAGCCTCACCCTGTGCCAATATTTCGTGTAAAAACATTTGTAAATAATTCGTAAACAGTTTCTAAAATCCGTAATTTACCATTATATGGCTGATATATTGTTGACTGACTCTACAGCAAAAACGTTAGAAAAAAATGTTTGAGGAAGTAAAGGAAGTTTTACCTCCCTGGGGATTACAAATTACCCCCAAAAGAATACAAAGAGGAGATTACTTAGGATATTAAATAGGTCTACAGAAAATTAGACTACAAAAAGTACAGATCAGGAGAGATTGTTACCAGACTCTTAATGATCTTCAAAAATTACTAAGAGAGATTTCTCAATCTCTATACAGACGATTATTGGAATAAAAACTGAAAAAGAATTAGAATGGGTAGAAAAAAGAATTCTAGAAGCACATGTGGACCGTGTGGATCCAGAACTAGACTGCATTCTGGTTATTTTACCATCTAGAGAATACTCCTCAGGGATTCTGATGCAGAGGGAAGATATATTAGAAT